TCATGGAGTGGACGCACTGCACCACCGCATGGAGCAGCGGGAAGGCGTGCCACCGACGCGCCAAGAGGCTCTCCATCGCGGCGTCGTCATGGAAGCGGTAGGCCCAGCCCGGGAAGCGGTCCATCCAAGCTCGCATGACCTCGTGGAACTTCGCCGAGACGCAGCGGCTGCGGCCCGTCTGATGGATGATCTTCGGGATGCGCGAGGGAGGCTCGTTGACACGGCTCGATGGATCGGGAGACACGTCCGAGACGAACGCCAAGCCTGGCGGACACTGCGAAGCCTGCCCACCTGCCACTGAGGTGTCTTGCTTTGACTGCGTCTCTCTGCCGTAATGCCTGCCATTAGGAGTCTGCGGCTCGCGCGCGTACACATGGACGGGCTTAGCCAGCACCAGCCAGGTGAGCCAGGTGCACTGCACGTGCTGCTGGCTCATCTCGCGAGAGAGCAGCGCACGCCACGCACGCAGCCGGATGCGCTGCAGATCGTACAGGCCCTTTCACACTTGTCGTGGTGGTGTGAGATGCGGATGCTGAGAGTGCGCCGCGAATGAGTCACGGAGGCAGCGCACGTAGGCAGCGAGTGCTTGGGTTTCAATGCTGGGTATGGAGCACCGGCTTTCGTAAGTTGACGAGAAGAGTACGGCCGTGGCCTCCGTCGGGCCGGCGGGCGAAGCCGGCGTTTCCAAAGATTTTGCAATATACTGTATTCGAGAGTACAGTGGGTTGCGGGGATTAAGAAAACAGCGCAAGAAGGAACCACGCCGAGCGATTTCCGCAAAAATCTAAGAAACCACGGCGTGCCGCAGGCGCGGCCCCGAGAAAAGGCCAGCCAGAGACGAGCGAGTGTGAACGGCAACGGGAGCCCCAGCTGAAGCCTGAAGCTCAAAATTTCTCTTGGCCTGCGGCGCGCGCACTTGTCACTTTTCATTCAAGTCTGCGGAGTTCTGAGTGGAGTGGATGGAGGCGTGTGTGCGTCTTCCCGTCATCCAGAGAGCCGACTCGGCGGCAGACTCTGGCATGGCCCTCGCGGGCAGCAGCTTGGCTGTTACCTAAAATCCTTAGGGGGGCGGGTCTGGCAGTCCTCTGGCATGAGTCCCGGCCGGATCTAAGAAAGCACGGCGTGGTGTGGATGAGGGTTGTGGAAAGGCTTAGAAAAGGCGGCGTGCCGCCAAATGGTGTTGTGTTAACGCCCGCACCAGCAGCAGAGCACTGTTCCTGGGGGGGGGTCCCGACCCCCCCAGCAGCAGAGCGCACTGGACCCAGCCCCCGCCTCCCGCCACTATGATTATTGGAAGCGCTCCTCCAGCAGCAGAGATGGGTGTCTTCCGACAAATCAAGCAGGCCGACCGCCGTGGAGCGTGATAATAGCGAGAGGCCAACTCCGCGAGGTTGAGCGCTGCGCGGTACTCGGCGGTAGCAACACTCGGTGTCAGAGCGTCGCGCCTACATCAGTAGTCTCATCACCGAGTGATTGCTGGCCTGTGGCGTGTGACCTCGCGCGGATATCACCAACGACGAGCATGCGAAGATATTGAGCACTATCTGATGGACTTGTACAGCCCGCTGTGCTCTCCGCTGTGTCACGGCGTATGATGGGCTGCGAGAGCCGTATATCTTCCCTCCTTGAAGCAGAGGCGCCGCGAGGCACGAGAGGCGTAGAAGAGAGGCTGGCGTGCCCCGCACAGCCCGGTTGGCAGTAGGAGGCCCCGCCGGTGAGACCACTGACGTTTTGATGCCGACCATAAATTCTCGCAACTCGAACGCATGCTACTTACAGCTGCTGTCTGTACAGAGATGCCAGCACCCCCCAGCAGCAGAGCGCTGCTTCTGTTAGCCGTTTTTGCCCATTTTTGGTCATCCGTCAGGGTATCTGAAGATCTGTCCGGGGGATTCTCCCCAAACCTTGCTCAGCTGATCCAGCACAGGTCGTAGGCCAGCCCTGGCCAAAGAAACCAGCACCTCAACCGGCTTCCCTGAGCGTCACAGCTCGGTGATCGCGCCGGCCGGACACCACTGTAACGTCCGTTCCGGGCATTTGAACGCGACCTTCGGGGGCAAAGACATGGGCTCTATGGCTCAGACTGGACTCCTCTTGGTCCCTTCTGATGCCCTAGGCCACACCTGGGCCTTACCCGGGGTTCTAGGAAAAATAAAACGTGTCGCGGCGGCCGCCGGTGTTACTGCGAGTGAAAATAAATGCGAGACGGA